GAGAGAGAGAGAGAGAGAGAGAGAGAGAGAGAGAGAGAGAGAGAGAGCGGTGGAGAGATGATGGGATATGGATGGAAAAGTAAAGAGAATGCACATGATAATCTACAGTTACCTAGTGGCTCCGTCGCGCGGAAGGAAAGTCAAACCTTGTTGTTCATTCCAAGTATATTTATATACGATGTGACATTAATTATTATCCTGATTAAATTACCCTATTTATACACATAATATATATATATATATTAATATTATTATTTATAGAGATTAGTACGCCTATTGGCTAATCCCGTGACGGCTCAGTATTGCAATACCGATTATAATCATCGATCAAAATCAATATTTTCCACGCGGCCTTCCCGTTTTATTTATGCCCGCGCCATTTCTATATTATTTGTGATCGAAACGAAATATATATATATTGCTTACGTGTATTTCATTAAGAAAGTTTAAGTGGTAGCGCGGAGTTTGTGTTTACGATTTGCTTGCATCAAATAAAAGAGCATCGAAGAACGAGATTGTGGCTGATATATGTTAATGATGTTGTCGATGAGAGATAGAGAGAGAGAGAGAGAGAGAGAGAGAGAGAGAGAGAGAGNCATCTAGCGGACGAAGTTGTTAACGTCTGAACTGATATTATAATTATTATACGATGTTTTTGAGCTTGTGGAGAGAGTGAGACCTCAACATCGTTTCTTCCGGTATATACACACATTCCAAGGTTCGTTTGATTATTAAACGTCAGAGGGCGCCTCTGTTGAAGATCGTCGACGGTGTAGTTCCGACCAAAGATATAATCATTCAGTCCTGATATAATATATATATATATATAGTTTTAGTTGTCGTCTGACGCGTCACACAACCCTAGTCATTGTCATGCAGCCGTGATTCATCAGACTATTTATTTATACTTATTTTATTTATTATTTTGAAAAAAAAGTGATAACTTTCAAGAAGCACGTTGTAATTCGAGTCAAGCAACAGGAACGAGAGGAGGGGTGGGTGAGCGCGGGGGAGGAGAGAGCGGCCAGGCGGGAGGGAGGGAGGGAGAGGGAGGAGGGAGATGGGGGGAAAGGAAGGTGGGAATGTTACTCTGTGTTACTGCTACTAACGTGGGTGATGTATATGATATATATACATATATATATATATACTGTATCACGTAATATAAGGTGCTGTCAACGAACACCTTCCGCCGATAGAGATCAAATCAAAAGGCTTTCAATTTAAACCTTACATTCGTGCAATATCAAATCTGGTCATCTCTCTCTCTCGAACAAAACAGGGAGAGAGAGAGGGAAGAAGGGGAGAGGGAGAGAGAGAGAGAGAGAGAGAGAGAGAGAGAGAGAGAGAGAGAGAGAG